GAAAAAAAATTGAAGGTAAATAATGGAAAAAAATTTCCATTATTTGGGCTAAGACCAAAAAGTTGCATTTTATTTTTGTCCCACTCTTTCCCATCCTATTTTTTTTTGTCAGGAGCACACATTTTTCATGAGCTTCGCCAGTGACTATCTATAGAAACTTATTTCCCATGCAGAATTTTTTAACTGTATGGTTCTAGACTCCCATAAATTAGTTTAAGGAAGATGATCAAGTTGCGATTTCTCAATTAAAAGCCAATTTCCTCGGAGTTCTTATTTTATAGTGACGAAGTCTTCAAAATAAACTCACCACGTGAGAATTGAATAAAGGTGATGATCGGTGTTAAGTATTCTAAGGCTTCAAGAAATTTTTTGGCTCTGTTTTTGAACAAGGGCCTCGGCATTAGAAGGAAACGTTAGTGCAGCTTTGTGGGTCTTAAATATTGCTGCTTTAGGAGGGAGCCGTGTTCTTTACCGACTGCTCAAAGACCATAAAAACCGGGAGGCCACTATTGACTCAAAAGGCGCTTTTCCCACGAAAAATGCTATTATTTTTGGAACAACAGACGAGGCAGAACTTTTTATTCGCCAAACCCAACGCCAATCTCGTTCAGAATATAAAATTATCGGTGTATTAGATGAAAAACCTTCTCGAAAAGGACTGTTTATACATGGAGTAGAAGTCTTAGGCACCTTACAAGACCTAGAGTATATTCTAGACATGCAAGACCATATCGATGCTTTAATTCTAGCACGCCCTTACATAAGTCCTAGTAGAATAAAAAAGTTTTTAGAAATTGGTAATGAAAACAATATTGTAATTAAAAGACTTCCTGCTGCCACTGAAATGGCCAGTACATTGAATACAGCTGTTCAAGCACGTCCTATTTCTATTGAAGATCTTCTCTCTCGCCCTAAAAAAAATCTTAATCGCCCTGCAATGGCAGCCTTAATTAAAGGGCAACATGTTTTAGTCACTGGTGCGGGAGGAAGCATTGGAAGCGAACTTGTGAGGCAAATCTCCTGCTTTAACCCCTCACACATATGCCTCGTAGATCATGCTGAATTCCTTCTTTATACGATTGATAGAGAGCTACATGAAAAGCACCCAGATTTGTCTCGTTCCATCGCTCTTTGTGATGTTGGTGATGCAAAGCGTGTTCTACATATTATGAAACAAGAAAAGCCAACTCTTGTCTTCCATGCTGCAGCGATAAAACATGTTCCTATAGCAGAGGAAAACCCTTGTGAAACTATTTTAACAAATGCTATTGGAACACGTAATGTTGCAAACTCCTGCGAACGCTTAGGAGTCAAAACAATGGTTCTTGTTTCAACTGACAAAGCCATTAACCCTCCCAACATCATGGGAGCCACAAAAAGACTTGCTGAATCCTACTGCCAAGCTCTGAATTTGGAAACAACGAGTCTCAAAGAAGAAAGCTCAACACGTTTCATTACTGTAAGATTTGGAAATGTTTTAGGGTCTAGTGGTTCAGTTGTTCCACTGTTCAAAAAACAAATCGCCCAGGGAGGGCCTGTAACAATTACCCACCCAGATGTTACACGTTATTTTATGACAATTAGTGAAGCCTTAGAGTTAATCTTACAAGCAGCAGCCTTAGGAACACAAAGTCTTTCCTTGAAGGGGCAAATTTTTGTTCTAGACATGGGAGATCCTGTCAAAATTATAGACCTTGCCCGTCAAATGATTCAGCTCTCTGGGTACCAACCAGACACAGATATTGCTATTAATATTACAGGACTGCGCCCTGGAGAAAAGCTTTATGAAG